ATTTGGCTTACTTAAGGATGGGTCTGTTTGCCAGCCACTCTTCTCACTTTTTTCACTCTGATCATTTGGCTTATCTAGTTCATTAAGAGATGCATGAATTGTCTTCCCTTCCCTGTGTCTGGTCTCTTCGTTCTCCTTGTTCATGAGGCTTCCACAACTTTTACTGCGTGGTATTTCCCCAATGCTTGGTGTGGCACTTAACCGTTGAATATCTTCCTCATCCTGCAAATCACTATCATTGAGCCTGATCTCAATTTTCCCATTGCTAAGGTCCTCTACTTTTGGCACAGTATTTCTTTCTTTATCTTTACTAGGGCTTTTCATACCTGATGAAGATTTTTTCTCTCCTTTTGGAGGATAATACAACAGTTTATACTCCTCCTCTTTCATACCTTCCACAACATTACGAGAAAAGGGGTTCTTCTTCCTTCTGAGAGATGACATGTCTACAAAGCACTTATCATCCACAGGGCTCTCCCACATCTTGGTCACTAAGGGCTGGTACTGCATGGCAGAGTTGTCAGGTAGAAGAGGGCCTGCTGTAGTAGATAAGAGTGTCCCTAGGGCTGATGACACAGTTCTATAGTCTTCATCCTCTTTGCTCTCTTTTTCTAAGCTTGAGCTCCTTACATACTGGACAAGAGCCTCTGCATTTTCAAACTTTTCACTTTCAGCTGACTTAGCTTCACTATCATCCTCACTCTTAGGCGAACTTCCTTCTTGGCTTTGTTGAGCATCACTCTGGAGAGCAACAGCAGGATCTAGCTGCTGTAGCTCTGACAGAGTCTCCTCTTCAATTGCCTCAAGCAAGCTTGTGTGTGCCTGCAACTTCTCACTGTTAGAGGCCTGCTGCAAAATTTTAGACACATCTGATACCTCACTTGATGCTTCTTGCCCTGTGCTCTGTCCACCCAATCCCCCGGCCCCCCCAACGCCTGTTGCACCATCTGAGACTTCTGAGAGTATTTCTGCTAGCACTGTGTTAAGCCACTGAGTATCACAAAGCAGGTCTACAAAGGCCTGTAAGACATTTTGAGCAAAGAGATCTCGCAGGGAGACCAAGATGAGGTTGCAGCGTATCATTTCTACTGGTAAGTAATGCTGTAGGAGAATTTGTGCCAACTTGCGGTAGTAGGTTCGAAGGGTTTCGGGACTCTTGAGGGCAGGATGCAGGGGCTTGTATTTTGCCTGGAGCTCCTGCACTCCTGCACTGCTCAGAGGCTCTGAATCTTTGTGTTTCTTGGAGATCTGTAAAAGAATGATTTTTAACAAGCTACCTGTACACCACTTTCATATCTTTTCCTAATTATTTGACTATTTTACTAACCAATGAGGGAACATATTCAAGGTTACTCAACTTACCACCTTGACAATGTGTAATCTCTATATATCTCATGTTGACTTTGATGTTTTAAAATGGTCTTAATGATGAAGAGGGGGCTAAATGCACATTTTCAAGGCAATATTTTAGCAAGAATAATAGTCTGACCTTTCTTAGTGCTCGCTGGTACTGCCGATAGTGCTGAATGTAGACCTGGATGATGCCTGAAGCCACGGCAGTCACATTGCCAGACTGTTTTATCCGCTGGCACATACTGATCAGGATATCTTCCAGGATATCTTTTATCTGGAATAAAATGGAACATGCAAGAGGGGACTGAATATACAAAACTTTATTAGAATGCTGTTATTTCTCTACCTGTTATCAGTTACCATATAAACCAAATCTAATTGACACTATCTATATCTCTAATACTTCCTTCATTACCCCAATCACTAATGAAGAGAATGACAGCCAAACCACAACTATGAGAAAAGTTTTTAAAATATCAACACAGGAGGCAAAGTCAAAGTAAATACCTGGTATGAGAAGTGGTTGTCTGGTGAGACATGAGAGTACCAGGGATGGACCAGAATGGAATGCAGGGACGCAGCTGTGATCTCCAGCTCTTGAATTACCAGTTCTCCGGAGCCCGTGATCTGCAGCACACCAGCCCCTCTGAGTGTGTGAACTGGGCTGGACTGTATACCTTTCTCAGGAACGTCTGGACTGATACCGTGTCCCTTCTCGACAACACGCTCCACTATGCTAAAGCATCTGCAAAAGTAAGGAAGTGATCATGAAATTGTTGAATTTAGATCAATAAAATATGGACAAGCAATATACTTTATTTCTAAAACTATCTGGTTTAACTATATGCAGTTAAGCCACTTGAACCAATGAGATGACCATATTACAGGCATGCTACACTCCAGCATCTATTTTTGAGTTCCCACAGTCCTAGCACTTTTATTTAAGTTATTGTTTTCCTCTTATCCTCATTCCAGATGGTTTATTTGCAATAGTATGAAGAAATAATTTTTTTCAACCAACTTTGAAAAGTTGCATCTCTCTACATGGATGCATATCATGTGACTTCTCTGTCCTGTTTAGCAAATGCACAAAAATCTAACCATCAACTATGTTGACACCCAGGTGCAGTGAGTTACTAAATGCTTTAGATTACCCCTTTTCATGCAGTAAGTTCATGAACTTCTACTTCAATCCTCCTCACACAGAAATTCCCAAGCAAGCCCAAAGGTGTGTGTTAATTGTCTTGAAATATCTATCTTTACATCCATCTGTAAGCACATCTTTTTGACAAACACCAAATATCACAAACATGAATAAAATTCATTCTGTACGATAACAGTTTTTAAAAAGTATATATAATATATACTAAAAGACATACCAAAAATTTATTATGAGAACTCGATTTCAGAAAAAACATTACAGCTTTTTCAGATGAAATGCATCATCCGTCAACTTGAGTATTCAAATTTATTTGTATTTCATCTTAATAAGCATGAATACACATAACTATAAAAAAAGAAAAGAAAATATATTCCAAAATAAACTGACTTCACTCTAATCCTATCTATATATTATAGCAATATTCTGTCACTAGCAATGACATCACTTACTTTGCAAGTAGTGGGTATGAGGTGGGGCCCTCTCTCAAAAAATTGTTGAAAATGGTCCATGTGGTGTATCCTGATCCCAAAGTGACGGTTATAAGGCCAACGGCACACGCGCACACCCACCATGCTCCTCCTCCACTCAGGCACACGCACACTGGACACCAAACCACACACGTCCCTGCTGCCCAAACTGCACCTCGGAGCCATCTGAAAAAGGGGATGCAGTACTTACAAAAATTGTTATCATCATTATCAATATTACAGTTGTTAGGCATATCAGCATTATTAGTAGTACTATTATCATTGCTATTATCACTATCATTTTAACTCCTTTTCATTATCATCTTAACAACAGTCTAATGCATTTTGGATAGTAGTTAATTACCACTTCCATTATATAGACATAAACAACAATTCAAAAATAATGATCACAAGTATGAGCAAGGGAAAAAAATATTCCCTAACTTTAAAAACTAAAAAGAAAAAGTTATAAGAAATCTTCATACCTTTATAATAATCTCTTATCCATTTCCTAATATCTACAAAATATCCAATTAATCTTTATTAAATTTTTCTCTCTTACCTGGACATATTGGTGAGATACATAAACTTCTGTCAGGGAATCATTTTTGTTTCGATTTTCATTGTATTTCTTAATGCTGCACACATCTGTTGGGCAAAATAAAAGGCTCTTTAAGTTATCAGCTCTGAATATTATACATGGATAAAAAGATCTATGTGACTATTAACCAAGAATGCACTTTGAGTTTTCTAAAACAAAGAACAGGTTCAATTTTTTTTCATTTCTTTCCACAAAGCAGGCTTACAATATTACAAAGGACTATTCAGAATCACAAATAAACATCATTTTCATTATTATAATAAGTCATCATTATCATTACTGTTACCGTTACCCTGATCAATTCAATTAATATCCATATTAATCTGATTTTTTCATAAACATTAATATTAGCATTCACATTACTATCATTCTTAAACAATCCTCTTATAATTTTGCTGAATACCACTCCAGTGTATTATTTCTGTCGTAATTAATACTGTCACTATTTGTATCATGATGAA